TTCTAGCAGCTTCTCACAGAAGCCCCCCTGTAGCCCCCCCACTAACAAAACCTTGCCACACAAACCCAATACACACAGCCTGCCCGGAGATGGAGGCCTCATACAACAAGGCTCCTAGCAGGATCCAGCTGTGTGCAGCGGCCACCGTCGGATCCTCAGGAATGGCTCAGTGCTCTTGCTGAGGTCCAGGCAGACAGTCTCGGCAGAAACAGCCTTTGGAAGCCTACTGATGGGCCTCAGCCCGTGGTAACATCTACGGTGGTCACTTCAGATGGGCTGACCAGTCTTCAGGTATCTGAGATGCAGCCTCTGTGGCATCAAGTAAGTCTTGTTGACTGAGGCAGCTGTTGGACACCTTGGGAAACAACGCCAAGCCAAGCATAGGAATCTGCAAGAGTGGGAAATCTGACAGCACAGCAGCGGCCCAAGGAAATGAAGTTCCATAAGCCAAAGCTGCTTTTCCACTACATGCAAGGATTGAACCTTGTGCTGCTCCTCCACTTGGCAGTATTTTCTCTGTCAGGGGCAGAACAACCAGGGATGGTCTTTATGGGTCAGGGAAAGACAAGGAGGAAAGATGAACAAAAAAGGAAAAAGAAGACAGCAGAAGCTTCAGTTCAGCCAAAGACCATAAGCTATGTGAGGGCTGGCACTGAGAAAAATCTAGGTGCAACGAGTGCTTAACCTCGCTGTGGCAGAAAAAGCAGGCACTCTCATCAAACCCATGCTTTAATACGGGCAGCACAAGGAGGCCACCTTTTGGTGTTAAAGCTGCCTGTGGTTTCAAAACCAGGAAGACACAGATTCTGTAAGGATACACAGACTGTCAGCTGAAGACAGGCATGAAAATTACTGGTGATGCTTTTGCACAAACAACATTTCTTTATGGCAGGCTCTGTTCAGATCTGTAGTAACGAATACCTGCCCTCAAGATCTTGTAAACTTAAGATGAAGAGTAGATACCCCCCATACTACACATATGTTTTAGATGATTGTTTCCCCTCCGAGGTTCAAAAAACTGTCTATGCAGATCTCCCACATTTGTCAGAAGGAAAACCAACACACGTTCAGCTAGAGTAACAGCCATTCTCTTGAGCTACAGCAATGAATTCAAAATAAACCAGAAACAGCTGAACTCATTTTGCCCATGAATTTTAAGTCCAGATTGCGGATAAAAATTCAGTCCTAAAGCATCTGGAAAGATTCAACACAATAATGCTTACTGTCTGCTGTGCCAAATTTCCCCTCACGTATACATGGATTTAATATTCTTTATACAGTTAGATCAATATGTAACAGCTTCTGTTGACAAGATCAGCCTCATGTATAATATGCGTGGCTTTGCCACAGAGCTATTACACATTCTGTAAGACCAGTTACTTGCACGCTCTTCATGTAAAAGAAAGACCTCCCACCACAATATGCAGTGCGACATTCTGCATATCCGAGTTTACAAAATTGCTTCATAAAAAATGGGACTACCTACATGCTACCAAGTTAATTTTGCTGCTGAGATTTTGAATTCCTCAAAATTAATCCTGCAAGCTTTAAAATTAGAAAATAAATCTGAGAAATATAAATTACCTTTCCTTCATTTCGCTTGTTTCAATAAACCTATTTAGATTTGCAGCCTTCAGGGGAATAATATCTAACTGAATATTCTAGAATTCAGGGGGGAAAAGAGATATGCCATTTTTAAAATGTTCACTGTGTTTTCAGTGAATATTTTTGAGGGGGGCGGGGGCAGGCTGCCTTAGAATTCCCCATTAATCCTGAGAGAAGAAAAGTGCATTGTCATCACAGAGATTGGAGAGACTTTTTAATATTCAGAACTGATGTTTTCCCTCCCTTCTTATTTTAAACCAAGGCCAGCCCTTTTAGTAGCATTATACCTATGCCTTGTAAGTGCTTCTCCCTTTTTTTTTTTTCTTTTTTTTTTTTTTTGGGGGGGGGGGGAATCTCAGAAGTAGGTTTCATTTTTTTTTCTTTACCATAACTCACAATTCCCTATAGAGTTTTTATTCAAACTTTTCAGTTGACTTCGATCATTGACCAGGCACGTAAACTGGCATTCCTAAAGGGGAAGAAACAGGAAAATTATTAGCCTAGATAAAAAAAGGTGAATAGAACTCTTGTATCATTAAACTGCTGTTGTAATTGAGGGAGTCACTACAAGCGATCCTCTCCCTCCTCCCCTCCCTCATTCGGAATTTTATTTACTGCAAATTATATCCCTAAAATGTCAACTGTCCTCTTACGTCTATGAGCACAGTGCAGAAGTCAGGCACTGAGACAGGAAGTACTGGATTTAATGATACTGATAGATAGGAATATAGCTTCAGGCAGTGCTTGATACTGCTCCTAGTCACATAGAGACTGCTCCGACACCAACAAGGCAGCAGAAATATATCCGAAGCTATTTGGATTGGCAGGGACTGAACTTAACTGAAACACCAGTTACAGGTGGGGGGTTTTTTTGTTGTTTTCGTCTTCCTTCTTCCTTTGAAAGCTAAGTAAAAGAAATGAGAAATTACTGACTCCAACACAAGCAAACACAAATTCTAGTGTCATCTGTAGAAGTAGCCCTTTTATAGGTGGGCACAGTCATTAATAACTTAAGGATATTTACTTACATACTTAAATGACACTGGCCATTGCATTAACGCATTTTACTGCTGCCACCCTATGCTAAATTTTCCAAAAAGTTAACTTATAATAATGATTATGCTGATAGACAAAGATATGTACAGCTTGAAAGAATATAAAAATGGACAACAGTAGCTAGTTACCGTATGAAGCATATTGTTTAATTGTACCTCCCATTCAATTACATTTCATAACCTTGAACTGATACTTTATACCTCCTACCTGCTCTCATTGGTATTTTTTCTTACATAATTCTAAAAATCAGAAAAAAATAGTTCCAATATGACCTTCTCAGCTTTCAACATACAAAATTCAAGTACATACAAAGTTATCTGTATACTCAACAACCTCAAAGTTGTTATTTGTCTTAAACTATTTCAAGCACCCTTGAGCACCTTTTTGGTCTATCAAGCCGCTTCTAATTGTTAGGTGCTTCACTTATCCAGGAACCTCAACCTCCCTTTGGGCTCAAAGCTCAATATTTAGTCCTCACAATCCAGCTGTCTAACACTGGACACCAAACTTCTCCTGCCCTGTTTACCAACCACACTAACCTGTTGTGAAGTGGGCCGCTGATGAGAAAACTTACAATGCCGCACTGGGCTACCAACTTCGGGTACGGTTCTACTGAGAAATCGTTACTTCTGCCTGCAATGTTAGCACGTCAAAGGAATTAAAATGATATCTAGGGCATAAAAGTTTACATTTGGTATGTTAATATATTTTGCATTGAATTTATCAGCTGGCTTATGTACACATTGCCATTTCAAGAAATATTTTGCCTGCAACTTGCATATGCCATAGTACCAGAGATTTGAGACCCCTTACCCTTATGCCCAAACATAGTAACTTTCTTAGGCAAGGACCTTGTCAAAATTATACAAAGTAGAAAATAAAGGTAAGTTTGAAGTTACACACACAAAAAAATCACCATTCAGAATTTTGCAGAAGACAGTCAAAATCTGTGATCAAAAACCATGAAGAATTTACAGGACTGTGAATAATAAATCGGAATAATTCAGCACTTTCAGATGGCAGTATTGAACTTTTTGAAGCAAAAGAAAAAAGCAGTTACACTGTCTTTATCTCTGGACTACAGCATTCAATCAAGGGGACTAAACAAAGCAATGGAAAACAAGCGTATCACACTAGAGGTTACTACCTCTATTAACGGCGTTATCAGAAACAAACATAAGCTCATGAAGCGCAACAACTGAGGCTCAGCCCTATGCGTTACTGTCAACCAATCTTCCTAAGAGGTTTAGGCCAGCATTTGGTACTTGTAACGCAGCGCCACTGAAGAACAATTTTTTGATGGAGGAAAACAAACAACTTGAAGCAGAGGTATCTTGAAACTGCTGCATCCAGACTTGTCTGTGGCCCCAAGTTCAGCTTTCAGGCCCTACAGAATAGTTTCAGAGTGGTTAACCTCCCCCGCATTTTGAAGCCATTGCCCTCCAGGAGTGAACACCATACAAGCCATTAAAATGAACACGGGTCTGCCGACTTCTGTAAACACCACATAAAACTCTTCCTTGCAAGCTTTATTCCTCCCAAGCCCTACTGCCTCCATCTCCGCCCTGCCAGACTTAGGCCATTCTCCATATGCATGTCAAAAAACACTGCACGAGCCCTTTCTCACCAGGTCAGAATCTTCACAGGCCTGTCCCATCCAGAGATCCTGGGTGATCACTGAGCAGATTCCCATTTCCCCTTGTGTTCGGATGGATTCCCTTTACCAGGGAGTGTATCATCTGAACAATACACAATGTTTGTAAATGACTTGGATTTGTGCACTAATTATGAAGGCTGGTTCCCAGTGCACGTAGCTGACTATTTAAATAAATGTTCTTAAAAGTTGCCAGCGTTTTGAAGATGGCTAGGGTCAGTCAAACCTGAGGAGTGGATTGCCTGGTGTCTAAAGTTCAAATGCTGATGGAAGCTTTTTCTGCAGGTGTGTTCTTCACGTGTCTCAGACCCATGACCAAAAAAGCTATTCCTCTCCCTCACAGAGACATGCCTCTCTCTTCAGCAGTTATGTATTTGTTATTTGTAAAGAAACTGTAATAATACCATGACTTTTTGAAGATGTATTTAACTAAGAGGTCCCAAATTTACCAGAGCGGGTAGTTAATTAGCTAAAAGGAAGAAAAAGAGGGCAGGAGGAGAGATGAGAGTTGTTTTAATTTCCTTGGTAATCCTGGGTATTCTTGGATATACTTCAATAGATTTAGTCTATTCAAATCCAGATAACCACATACCTGGAACATCAAGACCTGGCAGCTTTACACAGGTGCTGTGCAACAATCATACACCATACGTAGTAAACTATAAACATTGCAGCAGTGTTTTCAGAGTAATTCCCCAAAAGACAAGATCAATTTCTATCAACAACAAAGACAATGTTTTATTGAACAAATCTATGTACAGTACAAAAAAGTTTTTAAAATGAAACACTACTGTTGATTTATTGCAGTTTGATGGCTCAGTTTTAATTTGTACTCTTATATAAAATGCAAAGTAAAATAATTTAACATTCAACAAGGAAGCACAAATTTCCTTTCTTGCTGAACCTGTAACAGCTTTTACAAATTAAGAGTCCCAAAATGCATACACTGCATTTAATCAGAAAGGTGTTATACAGTACCAAATAAATTAAGAAAATAGTAACACTACCACCCCCTTTGAGTCTTTTGTCCATAGCACTGGTGTTAAACAATAAAAGAAATGAGTACAGCTGAACCTTCAATGTGATATTAAAATCACAAAGTTTAATGTTATAAATTATCCAAACTATACAATTTATATAGTTTTAATGAATATGGCTAAATAACCAAAGTACCAGTGACCTTTCCCCACAGATATGACCACTTTCAACCTACTTTCAGTATTTTTTTTTTTGTGAAAGGTGCCAAGCGGCAACTCATTGAAAATTAGAATTGACATGACCTTTACAGTGAACTGTGATCAGGTTAGAGTAGACAGTCTTAAAAGGGAAGTCTAAATCCAAGTTATAGCCACCTGGAGGAATGTTATTAGAATACGATTATCAGTAATGAAATGCACAAACTTTGATCCAACAAAGCTCCTAAGCTCATGTATAACTTCAGGCAGCTTTAAGATGTTTGCATGCTTACATTACACATGTACTTCAGTATTTATTGAATCAAAGTGATACATGTTGAAGAAGTACTTCCAATTATATCATACAATGCTTAATGCCTGGGGGGAAAAACCCCAAACTTTCAATTCTAGATTTGGAACCTTTTTCAGCCCTAGAAGTTGCAGGCTTAGTATAGGGTAATATTCAACATACTAAGGAATCCTTAAAAAGCATGTAGAATTATCCCCTACATGTTACAAGTATCTTTTTGCTCCTAATTACAGTTGTTTAATACTGCAACTTTCTGAAAATACCAACAGATATCAGAGAGTATTTTAAGGAAAATGCAATGTCTTTTGAAGTAAAAATCATTACTTAAAACAAAAATGTTACCACCCACTTTAAGTCAATTTAGTATATTTCTGATAGGTGTTAGGTGATGCTAATGTTCACCTATGCCAAGAATTCAGTTTTCCATTCTCCAAAGTGTATATACTGAACACATGGTATAAACAAATGGTGGTGTCCAAGAAAAGCATCTTTGAACAAAAATGAGTTTAATGCAGGTACAAAAAATTATGGTCACAGTTTATGCATGTACATAGATGCATTTATCTACACACTTTAAACAAAAGAAAATACAAGTCTCATTCATGTTTTTAAAGCATCTTCAAACACATGGAGCTCCAGAAAAAGGCAAAAAAGCACCAAAGATTAAAGGTACATTTAAAAAGACTTTACACAAATATTTTTGTCATATCTGAGTTTCAGATTTTTAAAACTGTAATACTTAAAAATTAACCTTTTTTTCCAAATATATTTAAGCAAATTAACTAGATTAACAATGTTAAGCAAAGAAAGGGGAGCCTGAGAACATACAAGGTGGTAACTGGGTCCTTAAAAATTAGTTGGTAACTTGAAAACAAAAAATGTAAAAGTGCATTTGGCTGATAAGGTCCCCGTTAATTTTATGTTTAAAATCTTTTAATGTATTTATGTAAGTAAATATATATATAGTGTGTGTATATATGTATATATAATGAATGATGCATTTAATTCAGTTTTTTTGCAACTGCAAAAAAACCTCTTTGGTGCCTCAAATGTCACACAAATCTCTGAAAGCGGGCCAGTCATCGGTATTAATGTAATGCACACATACCTGTGATCATAATTTTATAACCTTTTATGTTAATCCAACTCAAAGTTAAGGCAAAAATTTTCTAGAATTCAAGAGCATGATTTTGAATTTGCGTTCTTTTTACCTCCCAGGAGGGGAAAAGGAAGCAGAATTAATGCAAATATCTGTTTAATTTCACAGAGGATTATTAGCAGAGGCATTACTGAACTATTAAGTTTAAGTTCCAGAACTACTTAACAGCCTATTTTACAATGAAACCCTTAGGTTTGCAAGTGTGAGCCGTTGCTACGATGAACAGACCTTTTACGTACCTCTTGATTTTTTACTCATTAGTTTTTACATATCTGTTGATTTAAGGAAGTTGACCATCATCTTATGCCATACAGGCATTGTGATGAACTATTTATTCAGTAAGCAAGCTAGCTGAGCAGGAACAGTTGGTCTTTGCTATCCTACATTTCTGTAATGACTCCATCTGTACACACCAATTTTCACCACTATACCTTCCGTGCCTACAACCACATTAAAATTTTCAGCTACCCGCATAGAACAGGATCCCAAATAAAGTATTTTTAGGTGGCAAGACAGTATAAGATAAATTAGAGGATAAGTTAGCACAGTAATTAGACAACGTGAATGTTTGCCAGACCTCTGTCTGGGGTGGGAACATCAAAAACTACATCATCTTTTTGGTTTCCAAGTGTCCAGTATTTCGATGTTACGTATAGAGCTGAATGACTCAAATTTTTTGTCTTCACATTCTGATTGTTTCTATGAACAGTGAATTTTGGATAAAGTGCTTAACATTTAAGTCTAACTCCTTCACTAACTTCTGGGAAAGGCTATCTTTTCAAGAGACACTACTAGATAGGGTTGTAATGTGTCTTAATGTTGAGTCAATACATATTTTCTCCCTTCCTCTAGACAGTAAATAAGTAATGTACTGAGTTGTGACCCACCACCATTAAGAAATATCACATGTGAAACAGGCTCCTCCTGATCTTTTTTTTCCAATTTAACATGTGCTCTGCTTTTGCCTGCCTTTTTTTTTTAAATTATTTTTTTTAAACAGGAAGCCATCTCAATTTCTTTTCAGTCATATCAACAGCTGAAGGACCTCTGTATTTGCATAAAATTACTTTAACTCTGCCCTTAATGCAAGCTTAACCCCCTTCACATTCTGTATTTGTTTCAATTGGCTTCTGTTAATAACCACACAATCTGTGCACGTACTGCTTGTATTAGTCTTCCTGCACCTACAACAGATGTTTTACAGGACACTTAACATAAACGTTTACCACAGCCTTGAAAAGGGCTTCTCTTGCATGCATCTGATTTCCACTGTGCATAACTTTCACCCTTAATATCACATCAACTCATTTTACCTTGCATGCTCTGTACTTGAAGTTTTTGGCTATTCCACCCATCTTAGCTTTCTTTCTACATTCCTCTTTTTTGATTCTGAGTATAAGTTTATTAAATGAGCTCCATGCTTTTTAGCAGATAATGGAATCACATACTCAAACTTTGAAAAAAGAATGCATGGTTCCTCTATGCATTTCTTATCCATATTACAATAACGTAACACCTTCTTGAATGATTCCTTCCCAGCTGTGTGGATGGATATCCTTTAACACCACACATTTTCCAACTAAAGCAGCTTTCAGAATTGGTTGGTTTTATTTCCATAAGGCAATTAACACCTCTGCTTTCTCTGCTTGCTCAACTGTATGCCTTATTTTCCTTAAACCTTCATGCTAGAAAGACTGTGCCGCTAAGCTTCAATCACACATTTGGAATGAATGTGGCTTTTTGGATAACTGGTACTTTGGGGATTTTGTAGCAACCTTTCTGGACTCAAGATCTGCAGAGCTCCTATTACTCCTCTGTGAGTTTTGTCTAGAAAATGTGCTTTGTCTTTATCAAGGTCATGTTTTTGTTTAGTAATTTGAGACTGCTTTATGATTAAGGCCAACTGGGAAACAAACTGATGCTTCTTCACGTAGTGTTTTCTTACACCACTCCTCATTTGATACATTTTCCCACAACATTGAATCAGGCACCTGTAAAAGAGAATGCATTGGGGTTAAAATGAAGATTAACCAATGTAAATCATTCTTTAATCTAGAACACTGCTTATGTTTTTCAACATGTTTAGTTTCAAACATGCAAGGAAAGACAGATTGAATTACCCCCTTCTGTTCTATAAGAAGTCTTTTCCATTAGAGCTGCCTATCAATTCTCACCACCTCTTTCTTAATCTAAACAGCATGTCCAATTTGAACTTCCAATTTAGCACAGCATTGCGATTTGATTGTCTAAGCTCTAGGATACTGCAATTGCTTAGAAGTCCTGTCTGTCTTACCTATTCCATCAGGTTGCCCATTTTCAAATACGGTTTTCTGGTTGGTATTTACCTCCAAACAAACCAACCCACAAGGACTGTAAGACTTACTTTCATCATCTGAATCGAATCCAAAGAGCGTCTGACACTTCTTTTGTGCAAGGTGAGCCTCAAGTGCTTCTGAATTACAGTAGATGGTCAAGCAGTTGCCACATCTAAATCTTTCTGTTGTTTTGCTACAAAATGTATCTTGTTCAGAATGAGCATCTACTTCATCAGTCAAAATTTTTCTACGTTTTGGCATGCTAATGTATCGTTCATCAAGATAACTTGGAGGCAATGGTCTAAAATACGGTTTTGTTAAGATGACACCATATGAAGTATTCTCTGTTGTCTGATTTGGTTTAGAAGGTAATTGCGAGGCAGCAGCATTATTTTGTGGTGTATCATGACAATTCTGTAAAACTGGTAACACTGACCCATTTTCTGTCCTTGTTTCATCTGCCACTCTGTCCGAAGATATTTCTGAAGACTTTGATGATGTCTGATCTAGGTCACTGTGCCCATTGACTAGTTGGTCGCTAACAACATTACAGTTTTCAGAATTTGGCTGTAACACGGGTGTCTTTTGGTCTATCAAACTTAAAACTGTAGCGCTACCCTCAGATGAACTTTCATTTCCATTGTGAATTACATTATTTGCTTTCTTCTCAACACTTTGAATATATGTCTTTGGTTCTGTAGAATCCTTCCTTGACTTCCAAGTTGGAATTGGTAAATCTACAGTTTCTTTTTCATTAATAGATTCATCATCATCCTGGTAACTACAAAGTTCTGAAGGATCATCTGAAGAATCTTTTTCACTTGCATCTTCTGAACATTCTGGTGTTTTATTTAAATAATGCTGAGCCTCATGTTCATACAGCAAAGGGAGCTCCTCAAATAGCTCACAGCACTCTGCAAAATTGCATTGAGCTTTAAAAACACTATGACTTTTTGTATGCTCTGCAAGCTCAGTTGACAGCTTAAATCTCTGATTACAATTAAAGTGTAAACAAAAGTAAACATTTGGATACACATGTCTCTTCAGGTGGTCTATAAAATGTTGGGAATCAGCAAATTTTCTCTGGCAGAACCGACATTTTCCTTTATTCCATTTCATTATATGCTGCTGCACTTTCAAATCAGTTGGATGAGCTTTTCTTGCATGTTTATTGAGGAATCTTATCTTTTTAAACACTCTAGCACAACCATTAGCAGGGCACTTAAAGCTTCCTTCCTCATCCATAGCATCAATGTCTTTTTGAGAGCAAAAAGCTCCATTCATTTTGTGCAGAATAGGTGACTCTTTACTGGAGCTCTCATCATCTTCAGGCAAACTTTCTGTACTTAAAGCTTCAGGAACATTATTAAAACAGCTGTCACTACTATTTTCAGTAGCATCATCCTGGTCACTTAGATGGTTTTCCACCACATCAAATACCTGTTCTGCAGTCTCCTCCTCCACTTGGACCACTTGGTCAGCAGTTGGAGCTATTGCAGTCTCTGGTTCGTTATCTTTGGAACCATCAGAATTCCCGTTTTCAAGAGACAGAGAAACATCAGAACATTCTAGTTCATTAACAGCAGGAGCCTGCTGACCACGCTCAAGAACTGCAGCAAGATGTTGCCTTTCTATCTTCCTGACATGATTCTTTAAGTGCTTCAGCATAAGTCCTCTTTGCCTGAACTTTCTGGTGCAAAGTACACAGGAAAAACTGCCCTTTTTTTGGTGAGCTTGTGCATGTTTCACAATGTGACCACCAAGAAATTCCTTGTTGCATATCACACAGCGGTGCCTTGGTACAGTTTGATCTAACATTTTAGATGCCTCAAGAGCTTCATGGTTCTTTTTGGCATTACCTTTGGACTGGGGTTCAGAGAGGTCTTCAGGGTCAAGCTCCCCATTGCTTACATCTGTTGAACAGACACGTTCCTCATTCAGAGCCCTATACTCTGTTATCTTCTCTGTATTTGCAGTAGAGTTTTCCAGTGTACTTTCACTTATGCCAGCAAAGGCTTTATCCCCCAATAACGCTAAACAATTCTGCTTGATCATCAAGAAATTCCAAAACTCAGGATCAAAAAACAAACCTTTTTTCAAAATGGGAAGCAGTTCAAAACGTACACGGTTTTGAACAGAACTAGTGCACTCATTGTATTCTTCATCCGCACATTTATATAAATGTTCAACAGTGTAGTAAGATTCCAAGGTGCGCTCAAGAAAAAAGATTGAAAGAGCACAAATTCTGAGGATCTCCAAGTCATTTGGTAAAAAATGAGCAATTGCTTTATAAATAAGACTTTTCATGTTGGGATCTTCACGGAGGTCCAACTGTAGGGCACATCCACATATCTCAACACATATCTGAAGACCATCTTCACCAACCTGCACAAAGAAAATTACAGCATACATAATTATAGAGTATACATAATGGTATTTTCCTTATGGGCTTACAGAAGTCTATAGCTTGAAAGTAAAATAAAAAAATGAGACCCACAGATGAAAAAGAACTAGTATAAACAATGCCCAAACATCAACATCCCATATACTAATACTCTTGCAAAATAGTTAGGAGTTCAGAAAGCATCCTACTAGTAAGCTTTACCTGAAGGCACGTACATTTTAAAGTAATGCTCAAATCAGACTGTAAAATACAGATAAAAAATGCTCAAAAATAACATCTGGTTTGCACTGAAAGCTACACAGCTACTGTCAACAAAGCTTCAGATACTTTTGCCACGCGCAGTTCTATAGTGAAACACAATTAATTATTTGGGCATATAAAACAAGACTGCAGCAAATCATACCTGATCTAGCAGTATCTTCTGTCTGCATCTTCACTACCTAGGCTGTTTCACACTGCAGTTGGACAGTTAGTCTATATTTTGCCCCTGTTCTAACTCATTTAACTTGCATTGCATAAAAATACAAGCTATAAAATACTGCCCTCAATTTTGAACAACAACCACCAGGGAAACCATAACAACCCATGGCCAAACATTCTAAAAGGCTTGAATTTTCAGAATTGACAAACTATCCTTCCAATGAGCAGAATTCCTATTCCACACTTTAGGCTGGGGGCCCTGCCCTGAACATGTAATTCAGAGGGATGATGAGAAACATACTGCCCAACAGGGAGCAGATTAAAGTAAAAAGAGTTTCAGGAAGTTTAGAAATAATTAATACCTACCTATATTTAAATGTATGTTAACAAATACATACAATGCTCCATACGTAGTGGGTTATTAAAAGATACGATGATTCAGATGCAAATACAAATAAAAGTTATTCATGTCACCACAAGTATTTTAGAATACATACTGAGATTAAAATCTTGAACAGCAACAAATCATTACAATTAGAACTGTACAGCATCACCCGTGACAAAATAATTTATAATTCATTTAGGACACAGAATATGAAGGAGCTCTGTTCAGTCAGGTTAATGGTAAAAAACAACCTTTGTTTGGAAACAGCTTGCACTCCTGTGAGCAAAGTGTTGCACGTTACATCTTTCGCAGATGCCTGTATGGGACAGTAGAAGACCAACATCTGAAGCATGAACAACAGCGCACTTTTCTGAAGCAAAATTATGCCTTCCCCTATCTTAGTCTAGCTTTTCCTTTATGTTACATTAAGCACTTCTGCAGACTTGAACAGAACTGGTGAAAGGATTCAGAACTTAACAAGGGTGAAAGGCAGATACATTGGCATTACACAAGTCCTATTTCCTTAAGGAGCCAAGCTAAAAAAAACCCCAACCAATGCATCTTTCACATCTATTCCTCGTATTTATTAATTTTCCCATTTATTTATAGAGGATAACATTCCTCAAACTTACTGCAGGCAGAAAGAAAAAGTCAGAATTCAGTCAATTAAAAACAAACAAAAAATCTTAAAACCACACAACAGACCAAGAGCAATCACAATATTGGAGCACATTCTGGAACTTGACAAAATTTTTAAGTTAATACTGTGTCGTTCCTTACCCCCTCTTAGTTTTCCACAAAAAGTTGCCATTACACAATATAAAAATCATTTCTCTTCACTTACAAAAACAATGGAGGGGGCAGGGTAAAACAAACAAACAAAACTTACTTCATCCTTAATGACTTTCATGAAAGGGAAAATTACTCTGACATTTGTAGCAATTCTTAAAAGCTGGTAGCACTGGTCGACAAACACTTGTTTTGATGGGTTAGATTTAAGCTGCAGTTTACTCCAAATGAAGATCAGGTCCCTATAAGTACAGAACGAAGTATTTTGATTAGGTTGCGTTTTAGAACTCTATCACTAAGCATGATGCATTACTAAGAACAACTATTTGGATATTCTGTAAGTAAAATCGTATTTGAGGGCGTAATACCAACCTAATTAACACCACAACTGTACACAATATGTACAATGGAAAATGCAACTTAATTACTTTGTGAAAGCATTCAGGGCATCTCCTATCACTGAGCCAATTAAATATCCAACAAAATATTAATGTATTCAGCTTAGTATCAGAGAACTGCATAATAAAATCAGATGTTACAGCATCTAGCCCTTAACACCACCAGCAACAACCATCAGGCTGAACAGCAAGCTCTGTGTGCTCTTCGGATTAAGTTACTTTCAGTGCATGGATGGGGAGTCCTTCAGGAAAAGAAGTGTCTGAATGTGGAAAATGGGAGCATTGTGGAAAGCTAGCTTCTGATACAGTCCATTGACAGGAAATATTGATGTTCTCCAGTTATGCATATTACAACATGATTTTTTTTTTTACTGCTGTCATCACTGGTCTTTCTAGCCAATAGCAGTTACATGAAAGTATCAGGCTCTACACCTATTCATACATCTCTATGATCCTCAGTCAAATAACACTGCGGACTGATACAAGGAAACATAAGAATAGATTGCTAGACTCTGCAACAGAGCTCCTACACAGGTAATGTGTTTAGTCTATAAAATACAGCTAATTGAAATTTACAGCCTGTAAGTTCTATGCACTTGAATTCAGAGAGTGGGAAAGGCAATCAGAGTTAACTTTTAATTGTAAGAAAATTTTCCAGCACAAGTATTTTACCCAGGAGTAGATATAGTTAGGACTAACTCTAACATTACAATGAAAACAAGGGACCGATCAACTTTCATTTTCTGAAGGACGACACTTTTTTATTCCACCAGCCTCCTCCCTCAGAAAACACAAACCCAGTTACTGACCAAATATTTGGCTAATCTTCCAGAGTCTCTAGTCTGTGCCAGATACAAATCAGGCAAACCTTTTGAGATTGAGCTCGTCTTAAGTGAGGTCAGTGCCTGCATGAAAGAAGTGACAAAACTGCCTGTGACAAAACACCAACTTCACTTTTCAATTTAGGACAGCTCTACAATTCAGCTTGATATTTTAAGAGCTAGACAAGAGAGCTTGATTGTTTTCTTTCATTCAGAACCCAAGAAAACTGAAGTTGAAAGAAAGATCAAGCTTATATGGGGAAACTGTGAAAAAGGAATTCTACAAGCAGCTCTACTCACAAAAAAAATTAGTCTTACAGGTTTTCTAAAGATACAAGCTGTTCACCTCTGCCTTTACCAGGCTGGAAATCTAAATTCCTGAAAGTCTTTGCAAACTTCACATAGGAGTTTGAAACTAACTAGTGTCTTCATGCACCAAACCATTCATAAAAATTCAGTAAAAGTCTCAACCTGAAGTACAAAAGAAAGAACTGCACATTATTGCTGTTAAATTTTACAGCCGTTAAATAATACAACTTATTCTCTGCTTTGTCTCTCACCATTTCAGAGCAAGCCATTTCAACACTAATTATTCTTCTGAGAGATTAGTGGTTAAAGTGGCTTGCCATGTGTTCAGACAACTGTGACGGCTGGCACAAGGAAAGAGCTGAAAAAGGAATGAAGAAAACTGAAAGTAGAAGGAGCAGCTCCATTGGTGAGAGCAAGCTGTTAAATCAGTTTAACCACCATTTGACTAGACCCTGATGCAAAATAATATTTTAAGTCTTATTCCTCCATGTAGACATGGAGGCTTCTCCTTCTCAAGCACATTTCTGACTTTGATAATCATTAAGGTTTAAAGCATTCTTGAAGAGCTGATTGGACTCTATTCCAATCACTTAAATGCTTTGGATACCAACTTTAATGCTGAAATCAGCAGCACTTGAGATATTTCTGTGTCACTGACCACAACACAGATGATAAACTTGAGATAATGCAGGCAGGAGTAGATTTCTATTTGCTCAATTATTATGGCATAGTAGTACAGTACTTAATGACATTTACTTCTTGGATAGTAGAACTTGGTTCACATTGAGGCCTGTGCTTCAACTATTATGGACACACGTTGGGGCCATTTAAATTGTCACTGTGAGATCACAGAACTTGGTACCTCTTTACCAGAGGCAACCAGGTATTCCAGTCTGTTAACCCTCCACAAAATACCAAACCCTTTGCATGCTTCCATCAGCAACGTAAGAGAATGGTTAAACCCATCCTACCTTAGCAAAGGTTTTAGATCTAGCTATTGTTGATAAGTAGAAAGTCTATCTTTCCTCGGGCATAGATAGCACACTTTACCAAAATGTTATCCAGTTCACAAAAATTACCTAAAGGCCAAAGACTGATTGAACCTGTGGGAAAAATTCCCCGGCTTCTTGAATTTACTGCATAGGAGTCACATGAAACCAGCCAAAATAGCATTTTAAAATTGCTTGACAGAAAAGGCAAGCCATTCTGCTACACTTGTTCCATCAAAATTTTGTCTGTCTTTCTGAAGAGACATCACTTTTTGATACTAGAAGGTCATTAATCACATCATTATGGACTGATCTCTTACCGATACCTTGTATACAAATATTTCTAGTAAGACCATGCACAGCTTGCTTTGTGATTAATTTGTAAGTGGGCTTTCACTTCAGAAAAATAATTCGGATCACCTGAATCTAGAATTTATTCTTAATGTCAATGAAAACAGTAAGAGTTTTGTGACAGAGCTGCTTAAAGTCCATCTTCCTCTGAGATAATATGAGAACTAATGGTTTCAGCATGAAGATTTCATATAAAAGCTGCTTCCCGTTAAGCAATAGCAAATATCTGCTATTTACAGCTTTCTAATCTATTCTGGTATCTTATCTTTGCTAGTAGTGTTTGCTGCTAGATCCCTGCTATATCTGCAAGGTCCTGAATTCCAGACAAGGTAAGATGATTTATGCTGTGCTGAAGGCATTAAAATCTTCTCTAGGGAAAAACACACAATGTGGGTTAATTTAACCTGTCTCTTACTTCTTCAAAAATTTGAATCACAGTATAGTCATGCCTTCACAAACTTTGTTCCAGTTTACATTATCTATTAAGCATTATGCAGACTTCTCTTGTTGGGTACACAATTATTAAGGCTCAGCATCTGTAAAGAACAAAACAGCTATTCTCGCTGCACAGACGTAACTGCTCTGAACTCTTTCAAAGATCCTCAAGTTCTATATTCTGAACAGAAGATTAAAATACTAAGATACCAAAATGGTTTCCTTCATAAACAGGTCTCAAACAGTATTTTAGTCTCTTCTGGAATTTCATTTTTGACATCCACTTTGCCAGAACATGAGGACAGACATCTTGTTTTGAATAGCAGTTTTCAAAATGGATGATGCAAGACTTAATAATCAACGGGGTAAGAGCAATGTTATAACATGTTACTACAGCAAAAGATCTAAAAGGTAGGTTTAACTCCAATATTTAAAATGCCTTCCTTAAAAGACTGAATCCCCCAAACAGAAAGCACTAACCATGTAACCAATATGCATAGGTTACATCTGTGAATTTCCTAATAAATACGAAGTCAGGAGATGCAGCATTTGGGCAGGAATCAGCAAAGTTGGATTCTATCCCAAAGTTGGTCGCTGGGCTCACACACACTATGTACCTTTTTGGTTGAACTTCTTCATCTGTCCTATGGGGACAGTCATGCCCACCTTTTCCTGGACAGGCTGAATGAAAAATGCCACTAGGTATTGCCAATACATTGTATTATACATATATGTCATAATCATAGTTTGAAAGGTTTTTATTCAACACAATCAATTACTCATCCAATATTGAAGGAAAAAGCACTATCATGTCTGACCTTCATTACTTGCTCAAGAAAAAAAAAAGTAGACACATCTTACTTTTCAATTCTCTGAAATCTGGGAACAGGGAAATCCTATATAGCTTCTAAACTCCATATTAAAATTAGTTATGCAGATTAATAATTTAATCTCTATTGACTGAAAAAAATTCAAATCCTTGCTGACTAAGCCTTTTTGCTTTAACTACATAATCGAACAATTAAGCGTACTTTACCAAGGAATACAGATGTTACTTTAGGCACAGAAATTATACAGGCTAAACAGAAGGATTATCTTCCTTAGCCATCTTTCAGTCCTCAGAATGATGAAATTTGTTTTGACAACTCTTTAGAAAACACTTCTTAGCCATAAAAATGTCCAACTATCAAGCTGATTCAGTGTGTATGAAGACATTCTTACTTAAATGTTTTCTAGAGGACCACCATTTATGTTATGGCTCTGTTTATGAAGTAAAAGTTTGCGTAATTCATAGCGCATTTTCAGAACCATATATTCTCTTTTTAGACACATTGGTGACATACTACAGTTTGATTATAAGCAGTGTAATTTAACTAGCAGAACAGCAAAATATCTGCATTGCCAGAGTCTACAGACTGCATATTGTTACACATTGCTAATAATAAATGCCATATTTATAGGTATTTACAGCATAAAGTATGTAAAGGCTCACCCTTCTGTTACTTTGAAACAGTTAGTGTTAGGTACTATGTAGGCTACCACTGTACATGATTGTGTGTAAAAAGGCAACAGGCATAACAGATGTACTAGGAGTGTTTAAAAATCATGTTAGAATGTTTTTATCTGGTATTTTAAACTTGAGCTACATCTCAAAGTTAGATGAGTTTCATTTTGGCAATAAGCATTTATTATCTGCTAAGCTGCTTCACCAGAAATAAAGTATTTACCATATACAATACATGTCCCCATTTTGAAGCTGTGGGACTAGGAACGATTCACATAGCTGTAAGGCTAAGGTAGTCTTCCCTTCTTTTTCAGTGTTGCAGATGATCTCAATTCCACTCTTGCAATCAGTCCTCAACAAGTGCTATACAATTAAAATAAAATCAATTTAGATAAATTTGCTAACATGAAACAAAAACCTATCAGACCGTGCTATATTAAAGCAGCTACTGAAAACTTCAGGAATTGCTATTAACATAGGATTTCTTTGGAACAGCTTTTGTGTAGGTCTGTAAATAGAGATTTTGGAGATATTTAGAGCTCCTTCATATTTCTTAGAGTAATGACAGTCAGAATAATTGTCTGAGAAATTAAAAGATTACACAAAAGCACTTTTTTGCGCGATGGTAGCTTGTTCCTAAAACAAGGTTAAGAAGAGCAGTTATCTAGTAAGTACTCAGTGGTAAAAGTAGGGCCACATTCAGCTACAGTGTCATTTTACGTACCGGGGCATCATTAAAAAAACTTCAAGGCTAACAAAACTATATAATGTACAAAACACTGGACTGACATCAATCAGGCTCAAGTGCTTTTGCTAAAATAATAGTCAATAATAAAATAGTCAATACACTGAAGTTACAAAATATTAATGACTCAAGTTATTTAGGGAATATATCTACAAGTAAACTTGACCAAAAAAATTGCATTTAGGTCAACAAGATTTGTAGGCACTTAACATTTAACTTTTCAAAGCTTAAGCCAGCACTGAGTTAAGCAACACCGGTGTAGTTGCCTGATTTTATGACATTTGGTTCTACAAAAACAGAGTTCCATATGCTCCTCTTGACAACTTGTATACAGTAAGTATAATGTACCACTTCATTTAAAAAAAATGTATACTGACAAACAATACCTCCTGGAATAGCTGATCTTCTAATGGTGACATATAAAGACAGGTGAAAAGAGCTTGATGGAAATACAGATCTTTACTGATATCTGGATGATTTATGCAAGATTTGATAAGAGCCATTGCCTCAGGGATGCGTTCACAGGCAATAAGGTATCTGGCACGTAGTTCAAAGAACAGTGGATTTTCAGAGCTTAAATATTTGTTAACTGTACAGAAAAGAAAGATTTAAAGGCAATTAGAATATGAAGTCCAAACAACAAATGAATTTAAATGTAATGTTGTTTTTAATAGTGCAATGTCAACAAATAATATAAAAAAGGCTCTGCTAAAGAAGCTATCATATATTAAATTAAATACCATCAAGATTCTGTCCTTCTGCTTGGAAACAGAAATTGTTATTTTCTTACACCAGTAATCTAATTCAGTATTTTGTTTCTAACAGATCAACACAAGATGCTGCAAAGGATTAGTAAAATATACACTACATAGAAGCAGATATGAACATTTTCGAGAAAAAAAATTCCCTTTTTTCTCAGCACTGGAATCTGGGTGATTGTCAGAAGTGTAAGATCAACAGCACTTCCAATGCTATAACTATAAATATTTAAAACAACTCAGGATACTCATTATCCATTAAAATGGAAGAGCTTGGAGTGGTGAAAAAGTTAACAACAATTCACATCCTGTTGCTTTAAGTAGTTTTGAATACCTTCATTTTGCTTGGAGAAGTGGAAAATATACTTTTTCTTCCTCTAAAAGTGCTACTGGGCACAATTCTAAATCCCTAAATACCTTTAAATTCTAGGCCCTGATTTCTGGAAATCTGTGTTTCAGATCTAAAAGCTAATCTTAAAGCTAATGCTTGAATGAAATTGTTTCAACTGAGATACTCAAAATACTAACGTTTAAGTATTAAACATGAACATAACTATTACTAACATTTAAGTAATTGGGAAATTATGAAATACATAGCAGGCATGCTTTAGATCTCTATTATAAAAGATCACACTGATCCTAGTGTCTCTTAGGATTAAAAGTTAAAATATCACTCAAGAGTACAAAATGCAGCAATGCTGCTTTTATTTTGAGAATTGTTTGCATCTTGTCAAGTAAACACACACTGAGGTGTTAATAGTGTGTTAACATTTATGTAATGTATTGGACAATATGGCCTGATCTTCCTTTTATATTCTCAACAGCTACCTTAAGAGAAAGAGTTAAAACCCCACAATTTCCAGTGCATGCCCTGTAGTACTGTACAATGTTTCATATTTTAAAAAAGAAAAAAATAAAAGAGATTGTCAATTTAAAGTCAATAAAGGCTAGCAGTGAGCATGGGAAGTATATAACTTAGAAGGAACCTGTATCAAGAAAGTTACAAACAACTTAAAGTGACACTTAAAATGATTAAAAAAATAGAAGCGGTTACTGAACAATCTGAACAGCTAAGAGAATTTTTTTTGCCAAAAGAAAAAGACTACTTGTATAACAAGCTTTCACTTAAACTTTTTTTTTTTAAAGGATGCCTGTTTGAAAGACATTCCTTATGCTCAAAACCAGGATTTCTCTAGCATCTTTATTTTTATGCAAGCTAATGGTATTATATGCTAATGAACATTTAAGGAATATTATTAAAGGTGATACAAGGTTTTAGATTATATTTGTTAATAGATGTACCATAAGGTCCACCATAAGAGAAGATATCATTCCCACTATGCATTAGCACTTCTGGGTACAAATTTAGTAAAGACGACAACTGAAAGAAAAGCCAGTGTCTAACACTGGTCATTAACTGCATTAAAAAGTGATGGCATGGAACAATCCTTAAAGCCAAATAAAGGCCTCTCCTTTTTTGAATTAACATACTTATGATAATAAATCCAACCATCAGTTTCATATGCAAACATTACCCAACAGATTACCGAATATCCACATTGACAAATCAGGCCAGAAATACTTAGCTTTTGTTACATGATAATGTTAAGAAAATGCTGCACATATAACAGCTGGCTGGAACGTCCTTTTCCCTCAAAGAAGGGAAGACTGCAGTCCACAATACAGGTTAACTTGTTATATCATTCCCTCTTTCTGTGTGGGCAACTCTGAGTACACCCCTCTGCTCCATAAATGCGAATCCCACTTCTGACAGCACAAGCTCCCAGGGAAGGGTGTCTCCTACACCCTCCAACACTGACAGCACGAGCTTCCAGGGACAGGGCTCTCCTACACCCTCCAACGCTGTTTCTAAATAGACTGCAAGTTCCAGCTATGCCACTGCCAGGATTGTTCTCCCTCCCTGTAGTCGAATGCCCTCGTTTCCCAAGGCAGCATTTACAGCTCTTCTAACCCCCCCAGCAAAAGACAACTGCTAACTACTATAGTAGCATTTAGCCAAGTCTGTGATACATTAAAAATGGCTCAGGGAAAACAACATCTATTCTTGTCCAGGCAGCATGTGCAGTGCTTTGCTTTAGAGCGACAGATGCCAACCATCAGCTTAGAAACTTAACTGCTTACATCTGAGCGTACCTCTGCCTGCACTGCAATACTATTCTAGATGTTCACAGGAAACTGCCTTATTCTCCCTGATCTACTAGAAGTGTATTGCTCCTATGTTTCAACCCTGCTATTTTTCTTTAAACCCGAAGGCTGCCTTCCTTTCCAGCCATCTCAAAATAGACTGCAACATCTCAAAGTATACTACAATTCACGTAAAGACAGACACAGCAAGGTTTGTCTTCACGTAAGCTTCTCCATGTAATTAATGAACCTAGGACAGGATTACATAGTTCACACAGTACATACTTATCAAACTGACTTTTGCAAGTAATGGTTGGTGATTCAGCAATAATCGGCAGTTTTTCTCATTTAAAATAGTGATCCCCAAGGGAACTATATGGCCAAGTTTCAAAGTATACACCAAACACTACCAGCCTATAAAGCAGCACAGAATGTTGGCTTTGTGTAAGACTTCACAAGAATCAGATTTTAGAGGAAGTGAGACAAGAAAGAAAAAGCTTCCAAAAGGTATTATCTAAAACAAAATCTTTGTCATCACAGATGAGATATGTCAAGGGGATGTGGGGGGATATCAGAAGATAAAAGGAGGCAGAATACCTCAGCAGAGGGGAAGGAGATATGGCCTGCAACAAAAAGAAACAAAATGATCATCTAGTGACAACAGGCAGTCTCATTCCTACTCTGCCAGGTTAAAAATAAGCGAAAATCCTCAAACTGTTACCCATCATAGAGAGGCTTCATGATGATCAAGTGAATCATTAAGGCAAAGGACTAAACTAATTCTTTGCTGGAGAGATGGAGACTGAGACCTAACTTCAGATCATAACCACCAAACTTCTAGAGTTTGTCATTTGATACAAAACAAAACAGGAATAATCTCTGTTTTCATTCTGTTTCTAGTCAGTATTTGACTAGAAGTTTATCAGTTATGTAATAAAAATCATGGGTAAACTATGTTGCTCAAGTGCTTGCTTCACAGGAGACACAAAACAATGACGACTACCCACTTAATCATGTTAATTTCCTATCAGAATACTTTCTCTGGTTAAGGAGGCAGCTCACTAAGCTGTTCGACTTCATAGTCCTCTTCCTCTCTCTACAGAACAAACACACTGTCATAAACATAGTAATGAATCTGAATCGTGCATTACACTATAGCAACTAGAGAAGAACTAGTATTTCCTATCACTATCAAATAAAAACAGCATTTAAGAGATCCTCTGTGAACACTGCTAGCAAATAGGTCACATAAGATGTTAGTAAAGACTTTACTGTAGATTGGATATTTTCCCCTCACGAACTTTCATTAACATTCTGGTAATGTTTGTTTCCACGAAATGTTAAAAATGCTGGTTTACTTCTCAGCTTGCAGAGAAATCATTCCCCTACTCCCAACTCTAGAAATTACATATACATAAAGGAGCTATCAGGTGTAGTCACAGGCCTCATTCTAAACAGAACCAAGAAAAGCCACAAGCCCTAATATTTACAATTTAAAAGAAAAATTAAATGAGTCAGAGTACCATGAGACAGAATTACACATCAGGTCCTCCCCTGACCATGTTACTTCAGTAGCCTAATTGAAGTCAAGTCACTCCCCATGCTCTTTCAGGGGTTGAACACCTGGATTTGGTAAATTAATTTTATAAGTAACTCCTCAGTAGCCTCTTGTATCTTTAATAATCTGATTTCTACACTGTAAGTGACTTAAACTACTAGCAAAGAAACTTAGTTTTCTTTCAAATAAAAAAAGGGGACAGTACATTTTAGTACAGAAAAATAGTTAAAATTGTGTGCAATGCCAGCTGACAACACCTGACCCTAATATCAAAAAAGCAAAATTTAACACATTTTTCAGTACTCTAAAAAATTAACATGGTAAATGAAATACCTAATTCCTGTGATACAGGCTTTGCTTTAAGAATTGCTTGTAATACTGGATCCTCCCATGGTCCACCATCTCGTATGATGCGAGTCACTAGTTCCAGGTTCATATTTCTGTATCTATTTAGAAGGTTCTGACATTCCTACATGTAAAAAGAAAAACAATTAGAAAGAAGAAAAAAAAAAAGTTGTCTAAAAATAAAGTTAGGCCATCCAAAAGATAAGAAACAAGAAAACCCACCCATGTTTAAGTATTTCTTCAGTCACCAATTCAAGCTAAACTCATCGACCGGGCCTACACAAAGCCCTAAAGCAACAACTTATATTCTCTATAAACAGTAATACACAACTGTGGAAGCCAGAATGTTCATGTCTTCTATAAGCACATAGCAAGAGCCTGCATTTGCATAACAGTGCAAAACCACCTTTCCTTGAATTAGAAATATTACTGGCATATGCTGAAGTCTTCACCTCATGCTAGTCTGCACAGATTTAGACATGCTGACACTGGATTTGTGATCCAGTGATGGTGTCTGAATTCTACGAAGGAAAAACTGAATTAAGCCATATGAGTCACCAGCCCTCAAGCAACCATTTTTCTCCAAATCTCTACATAACAGAAATTATGCTTGCCTAAAATAATCTAGAATGTTTTAGCCACCCATGATTTTCACATAAGCCAAGTTCCCCGTCCCGTCCCCCTTGTTATTTGCTGGTAAAAGTGTTAACATTAATGTTAATCAACAGTAGAATTTTAATCACAAGAAAAAGGTATCTAATTTTGAAACAAAAAGATGTAGCTGAAGAATGGCTTCTATGCACATACAATTAACTCCTTCACATACACTTTTCTGCTGTAAATTCTTTTAGTTTCAACCCAATTTTTTCTTTTATGTTCAGATGAGTATGTTTGATGGTAAAAAATGGTTAAGTAACTGAAACAATGGTTTTCACTAACAGTGTGATTACACAAGAGATTCAGAAATTCTTTATCTAGAAGATTATGTAAAGATTTATTTTAATACATTCATTGTTTAAAAGTCAAGGTAATTGAAAATTGTAATACAAAAGCACAGAGAAGTATTATACATCACACTTTTTCCTAAATTCTTTCTTGTTCATTCTTGAAAAGCACTTATTGCAGGACTGCCAAAATGTCCCATTACTCTTATGCAAGAGACCCTACCCATTCCTGAGGCTGCTAAGCCACTCCTTGATCCCATTCTTCCAACAATTCTAATCAAGCGTGTAATTGCTGCTGGTTTGATAATTAAGTAGTGCTGACACATTAATTTGTAGCAGCAGTAACAAACAGGTATCAACATAAAAATAACTAAGGGATAGCTATTTCTCAAACTGCAGTTCCATGATCAGTATTAACAGGAGAAACAACCCTGTTTTTCATCCCTTCTTTCCCTACAACAAGTTTCCTCTCATGGTGGCACAAGTGCTTGGGTTCCCATGCAGTGAACTCAACTCTCAAAAATCAGTTCAGGTCAAAAAAGACATATCTGGCAAAAAACCCGTAAGTTTTTAAATCCAGGATCATTTATCTTATGCAGTTGTATATAGCCATACAAAACCTTGTCCCAGTCTAGCCAAGAGTACAACAGTTTTAAACAGTGAGAGTTTATGCTGACCTGAAGAGTTCATCAAGATAGAGTTTCAATTTCAAATTTACTGTTTAAAACCACAGAAGGAAACTTGAGGTTTCATGTCATGAACTGGTACGCAACACTGGATGACATTAAGTTCTACTTAGATATAAACAAGCAAAGCTTCCCTCTTCTATACGGGAAACGCACAAAATATGTCTTTAACAAGATTGGTATTACAGAGAAGTACATTTTACTTGGTCCAAGTAAATTCAAATAGCAATATTGATTATAAATGTAAGAATAAATGGCTTTCCCTTCAAATATCCTTCTTTTTTTTTTTGCTTTTCCTTTGGGTATAAATGTAAGTAAAGCAGCTACATTCTTTCACTATAATGGCATGTTTCCTCCAGGTTATATATCCACAAAAACTGTCTTTACATGTACTAAAATAATATTAAAGACTTATATGAAAGTAGGCAACACTACCTGAATTGAACCTAAAATATCTTTCAAAGGATCTTCATAGAACTCATCCTTTCCAAAGAACAGCAGCAATTCAAAAAAACTCCTAAAAAAACAGAAGTAGTGACAAGTCAACCAAACTAAAAATGTTAATTCGAAAAATGAAACTATGGTCAGGCTATTAGTTTTCACAGCACTAAAAACAAAATAAGGATTGTCATAAGTTCTAGACCCATGCCCATGCCAGAGTCACTCTAAAAAGTTTGGCCAATCCCCATGCTCTCTAAACGCAACTCATACTGCAAAAATTTTATGTTGGTCTGATATTTTGTGCTGGATTTTGGCAGTTAAGACTTCCACACACACCCCTCAAACACATTTTTCATCAGGCATCAAGTCGCAAATAGAATACAGCCATAGATAAGCTAACAAGACCAAATCAGTAATAAAACCGATTATACTTAAGCACAACTTAAAATCCCTTCTGCTGAACCTTTTTCATCAGTTCAGGACATTTAGACTCACAGTACCTGCCTGATCTTCTCCCTGAAGAACTCTTAGGTCCTCCATACTGCTGCTCCCCATTCATCATTACAAAAGTGAACCTTCCTCAAAAGCCAAAGCATTTGTCAGATATGCAGCAATTTTGAGGAAGGAAGAGGACAGCTGTAAAACTACTATAGTATGCACAGTGTATACAGAGTTACATTCAAGGAATAGTAACTTCACATGAATGCAGATACCCAACAATTCATATTTTCAAGTATAAGCACTTTTTACTAACATATTTTATTCCATTTCAGCCGGTCTTGCTGTAATGCCCATTGAAGTCTCTCTATGAAGGTGCAGGTTTAAAGGTGCTATTCACTTCCTATTTCCAAATAAAAGCCTTTTGCTATAAATTTCATATTTCCAAAAAAAGTCTTTGAAGATTATTTTCAAAGGGACAGCTTTTGCACAAATACACAAATGTAACTACATTCATCTTCTGTGTGGCATTCAAACAAATTGATAAAACCTCAATTTTACCACCAACAAGTTTTTAAGCAAATCAGGTCTATGTGCAGCAACATGAATTCACAAGTGTTACCTCAAAAGAGGTGGCAGATCAGGGAGAAGGCAGGACTGATCCTTTCAACAGCAGCCTAGATTCAAACTGACCTGTGACCTCTATGTTTTCCATCATCTTAAAAACTTGTTGAGCATTTTATTTATTTTTAATACAGTGACCGAGATGAACAATCCTGATAGCAGCATCAGAGAGGTTGGTAAAAAGTAGATTTCCAGAGCTCAAATCAATTTAGGTCTTCACTTACAGAAGCATACTTCCAGATAATACCTGCAACTCAGTCAATTCAATCAAAAACTAGGTAGTAGGATCTCATAGATCTGCAGACAGCTCCAGTGCACCTGCTATTGCGCTGCCTTAAGATTCTGAAAAATTTAATTTCTATTTGGAAAGGCAACTACCAAGTACTGCACTAACATAATCTGCAATTGCTGGCTGAGAAAGTCATGAGCGGCAGGCAATAACTGAGCGACTCTCAGAGATAAAGATAGTACTGAAGGAGTACTGAAAGAAAAATTGTGCACCCAGGGCATTTTAGAAACAGAACTGAACAGCAAAGGCTTTGACCTTGTAACAGAAGAAAATAAGAATAATTTTCTTTAAGATTATTCTAGACATTTTTTCCAAATGAACAGGGAGAATAAGGAGGCAGAGAAGGAGAAGGTGGAAGATGACTCCTGGAAGAGGTTCCAGCATTCTTCCAACCTACAGGTTTTTGAGTGAAGATCTTGCTGATGGCAATTTAGTCTTTCGTTGCAACAGCTCTTAAAACAAAAGGCAGCTTTTCATGAACAGCTGGACAAGGAACTCTTTTGCAGAACAATTAAGTTCACTGCACTTATCCCCAAATTTAAAGTCAAACTTCAATATATTTGAAGTTAACACCCAAAATATTCCTACAGAACAAAATGTTTCCTTTTTAATAAAACTAATTCAAAAGAAGTTAAAAAGCAGACTTAGGACAATTGTTCCTCTCAGTAACATTTTCAGAGATACTGTGCATTAAAAGATCTTAATGGTCACATAAACAAAATGAAATTTTGTATGGCAATAATGCAAAAATATAAAAAATTAGGTTTCCTTTAGACTATGCTGCAGTAAATTTTTTCCTAATCAGTGATAAACTATGCCAAACACAGACCTAGAAAATTTAAGATACACATTCATTATGTTCAATGACAGAATTTTTCTCCAGATTTGGTCCTTGAATCTCAACTCAAATATAGAATGAAAAAACAACCAGTACCAAAATAAGTACTCTGTTCTGAAAAACATCATCTTATTTCATGTTGATAAACAAAATTTTGCAGCATACTTGACTCTCAGGAAAGGTCAGGCGTGAGTCATGTCATGATCTGAAAAGCAACCAAACTGGAACTTAAATAATGAGACAAAACCAGTTAAAGCAAATGATGCATGCATCCATTTTTGTTTGCTTTGACTATTTTGAAGAGAATAGGATCTTGAAAAAAAATAATCTGAAAATTAATAGCGAACAAGTATAAACTACAGTTTTCTTCCCCATCAATGCACCTGCTCCACACTCTTATCAGACTAATAAAGGAAGCTATCAAAATATTTCTATTTCCTCATCACCAGTCTCCATTCAGTTAAAATTACTATAGTCAATTCCAGCTTGGCACTGTTATCTTAAACCAGTCTGCAGCATTGCACAGCCACATTGACATCCATCCATTTATAATAATGGTGCTTCTAGATTTATTGCATCACTACTTTGATATTACTGGCATCAGAAGATTGCCTAAGAACACTAGTATGCTGGCACCATTATTAAAACTCCCTGATATTAATGGCAATACAGATGCTGCTTCATTTGTGATGAATAGCAAGGCTAGTAAGTATAGGAAATGCAACAGTCATTACTGTTAATAGTTTATTGTCTGGTTACCAAGGAAATCTTACTCGAGTATGGCAACACAGTCGGGCAGATTTTCGCTCTCAAAGAACTAAGACTTAATATACACCAAATTTTCAAAAGAGATTCTAGCAAGGTTTCCCAGGTAACTGCAGCTACTAAGCCCCAGGATCCCTTTATGATACCATGTGCAAAACTACACCAGTCAAGCACAATCAGAACAAACAATAAGTTGGCATTCCAGAATGGAAGAAAATCTCAGTGAGTAAACCCAGCTCCAAAAACCAAGGGGGACAGGAACTCATTGACCAACTCACTTCTAGATTATCAGGAAGTGACCACCCTACATACAACAAATACCTGAATTCCTACCTTTTCTACTCCCAAGCTTTGATACTTAAAAGTATATAAAAGTGTGGTTTGAACTTTGAGGGTTTTTTCTAAAAACTAGTGGAAAAAAACCACAGAGGCCACCATATTTTGATGCAACTGCTAGTCATTCTCTGATACCTGAGCATTCCAGTTTTAAAATTTGTTGTCTTATGATTCCATAAATAGTCTCATGTCAAACAGTTTCATGCACACACAAAACAGTAAATCTCTTTGGTGAAGTTTCACCAACACTTAAAGATAGCATATACTCTGTGAGTGTACAGAATAAAGCCTTGACTGCTGTGTAATTAGTACCAATAGCTCAAGAACAGTGGAAAGGATAAGAAACCCAGTCCTCCTGACCAAGTAAACTAAGAGAGGAAGGCTAGGAGAGTATTCACTTCTGATGACTAGATGAGGTGGGAGCAAGACATTTCCACACAACGTTCTGAACTGAGATACCAAGTTGTATTTGAAAGCACCACTCAACAAGAAAGCGGTTTAAGCAGCTGGACAAATAAATCTGATTTACTCAAACCAAAATCACAATAAAGCTAGCTTTTAGGTTTTTGTCCCCATCTGCTGAGAGAAGATCAATTAACTTGTACCATGGCTACGTATATCTAACTCACTTAAAGATTTTTTTTTTTTAACTTCCATTCGACATTGACATTTTGAAACCTGAAAAGTAGGGTTTTAGAACAAGAAAAAAATGGGACTTCTACTTATCTACTGATCATTACCCTGACACTTTCAGCCCTCACGTGGGAAAACCACCAATGCAAGCAAGATTTATGACATAGTGTTCTGCAGTTCTTTAAGGTGAATACAACTTTTGGTCAGTTAACTGTATAACAGGTCATCCCATAAGCTTTCTGATAACTCAAATGTAAAAATCCATTTTAAAATTTACTGATTTCTTAAACACCACAAGAAATTTATCTTAAATACTTTATCACATTGCTAGAGGCAGAACAGTAAAAACTTTAGGTAAATTATTTACAACTATGTACTGTGAAAGGTTGGTCTTCAAATACTCCAAGTAAGATTTTCCAAAAAGAAGTCTGCATGGTGATCACTTATTTCTTTAGATTACTCATTTTGTCAGAAGCCCTTATGACACAACATTGGAATACCCAACTTGAATATTCAACAAGAACATAAAAAGACTAAACTAAATTCTAGCTTTTGTATCCTCAGTTAGTAATTCTTGGTTCCATGTAGCTACATCACTGGTAAAACCACTCTTAAAAGCTCTGAGGATCTCTGAGACCCTATTGCTATTATAATAAGTAACACAGATAGTCTATAATGTAAAGGAAGTAATAAAAAAAAAAAAATGTACTTACAAAGCTAGGCTACTCAATACGTATTGTACGTGCTCACATTCAGCTGGGAATGATACACAGGCAGACGTGAAACAACAGAGTGCCGTCTGAAGCACCTGAAGCTGAGGCAAAGGAACCTGCCATCTTCCAGCATAGTCTTCAACAACCTAACAACAAAAACATTGAAATATATGTATTACAATGGAAAACACTCTCTTTAGTCAGAAATAATAAGTAGTTAATACAATACCTGCTTTATCTCCCCTCCTTCTCCCTCAGAAGTAGGATTTGTAACCAAAAAAACTGACCATTTTATGTTATCAAACCAAAAAAATAGACACTTTATGGCCTAAATTATAAAAGATAGACCACAAAGGACCTTCAACTATTCTCTGCATAGGGTAAGGCAGGAAATACTTTATTTTTACATAGTATCACAGTAGATACTACACTCTGCATTTAAACACAAGTTTTTTCTTTTGCAAGAGGATACAAATTAGAGAGTCTAAAACAATATCCAGAGATTCCATTCTAAAAGTTTCAAAGAGGGGAACAACTAGATCGTGCTCTTCTAGCCTTTATGTCAGCAGAGAAATGCACAAACATACCAGTCACCCTTTCTTATCTGATCAAATAAGTTTGACCTTTTTTATCTGTATGATGGAACCAAGGCCAGTTATGCCCAGATCCATAGTTATGGAACTGCAACACTATTTAGAGAAATATGAAGGTGAAAAATAGGTGTTTTGATGGAGAAAATGGAGAAAAATCCTGGCCTGGTCATCTAGTCTATCTTGTTTGCGTTAATAAATGCAAATTTCTGGCACTGCCTATGCCCACATTGGGAGGCTCAATAAACCAGCACCATCTGATATCTCTGCACAGGTGTCCCTACACTGAAGTCCTCTGAAAGGCCCAGTCCATTTAGAGCACTCCATATATAAAACACAGAGCACTGAGTTCAGCACAAAGCATAGCAATAAAACAGATGTCCGTAAAGGCACCCACCAATTCTGTGACAGTCTAGTCATTATGCTGCAGTCCCCCAGCAAGTAGAAGGCCAAGGGCTTTGGGTCATGTCTCCTTTAATCAACAGCTATGACAGCTTAGAATACTGCATATAAGTCACGAGACTGAAAACCGTATTTCTTCCATGCTCTGGCTCATAGCTTATCTCATTGCACTACAGTCAGGCTCCCTTTGCTCACTTGTCTTATTTTTTCATCGTAACGGCACAGCTTCTGTATAAGCAGAAGGGTGGACTAGCTGCACTTCAGGGCCTAGGGCACTCTTCTCCAGCTGAGGAAACCTAACTGACATCATCTACACCCCAAGAAAGTGAGAAGCAGGTGGGGAAACACGGTGTCATCAGCCATGTTGAAAAGAGAAAGCTAAAGCACTCCATAGCATATGGAAGAGACAAGTAACTAACTGGCTTCAGGAAAGCTATGAAGTGCCAATCCCAGTTACACCTGGCCACCTATCTCAAGAGCCAGGCTGGCCAACAAAGCATAGACTAAACCAAAAATCAGATCTATCCCTCTTCAGGATTTCTTTTCGACTTGAAAGTCTGTGAATCCCACTCAGATTTGTCTAATTCCCCATGAACTAACTAAAGGGCTTATAAATCAGGTTAAGTGGCCTACATGTGTAGTTCCAAAGCTATGTGCCTAACTTTGTTTAAGGCTCTGCAACATGAACAGGCCGGTGTCCCATTTCTGACAGTTTGGTTATAGCTGCTCCAAAGCAAAGCAGTAACTGATAATGGGACCAGTAACTTTTTCTCCTCACCAACGACACCTGAGACTGATTTATATTTTGTAAGTAGATTTTGACTTTCCACCAAATTTATTTTCATAATTCCTGTTTGAAAATCTGTTAGCTTAATGCAGCAAACACCTAGGTCAACTGGAAGAGAATTAGCAGACTTGTAGATAAACACTCTTCCTCTTACAAGGAAGAGCAAACACTTTATAAAGCAGTACTGCCTCACACATCTATTGTGAGTTCTCTGAAATAAGTTTAACAAGGTCCCTTGTATAGGAAAACACAAAAGCCTTAAGAGAAACAGCAGATGGAGAGAATGAACGTCTTTCAGTGGTTTTAGCCTCCAAATGGTCAAAGGTAGAAATAAAACAGCCATGGGAACATGTCAGTTCCCACTATCATGTTTCACAACACCTTGACCCAAGAGGCACAGTACAGATATGTTCATAAAGGGTTTCAAGCAACAAGACAACATTTTGTGGTGATACTGGTTTTTTTTTCTTGGTAGCATAAAGTGCTAACCGTAAAGAACTGTAGAAAGGATTTATGACAGTGAGTGATGAAATTCAGCATAGACAAGTGTGCAACTGTACTTGGGGAACAAAACAATCCAAACATGTAATATGATGGCCTTCACACTGACAATTACCACCCAAGAACAAGACTGTGTTGGTATGGTAGATGTTTTAATGACACATCACCTCAATGCTCATCACCATGGCCAAGAAAGCAAATTAAGTATTAGGAGAGTATTAAGATAAAACTAAGCAGAGTGTTAACTGCTCAAAACCATAGCACATCCCCACATGTATAAAATTGCATGCTGGTTTGCTATCTGCCCAATCCTATCTCGAAAGAGAATACAGTAGGCCTAACAAAAGCTTTGATGGAAAGCAAGAAATGCTAAGTAGCAAAATAAATTTCACATAAGGATCAATGCAGCTAACTGAGACACTTTAGGTTGTAAAGAAATGACAAGTGCAGGGGGGGACACCAAACAACGTTGGCAAGCAGGATCAAAATAAATTACAGGACGTAGTTCTTCACACAGCGTGCAAGTTAAGCTGTGGAGCTCCTTACTAAAAGGATGCTGTGGATGCTGAATGGCAACATGAGTTGAAAGAGGCTGCATGAGCTGATAAAGATATCCACCAAAAGTTACTAACTGCAGTAACTTAGCTGAACCGAAAATAGATAGAGAGGGGAAAGTTACTGTATTTGCTCGTCTCATTCTTTGGTTAGGCATATATGAACTTTTGGTAAGATTCTGGTCCTAATGTCAGTGTATTGCTTCTGCAAATAATCAGCATTCAAGAGCAATACAACAAAGACTCATGCTGACAATAAGAGTTAGACATTGTACTTACTCTCTGAAAGGTGCAGTCCTACTGTCCACATTTTATAAAGTCCTATACAGTCCTATTAGTTGCCCTTGCTGCACTTACAGTGCTCATCTGAACCCAAAGCAAGCTAGTTCAGGACCTAAGTGGCAGAGAATAAATAGCCTCCTCTCCCCCAAAAAGCCAACAGTCACTGTCTGCATCAGCTCTCTGAACCGGCTTGCCACCCCACCACAGAAGTACCAGAGGCAGCACAGAAAGGAAGATACCACAACAGCAACATCGCCTTTGTCAGGCAGTTAGTCTGCAACTCAAATGTATCCACAAAAGACTCACAGCAAGAGCTCCCCCCACCCCAAACTGGTCAGGAAGAATATGAATAGCATACTTTTTTTTCTGAGCATGGGTACCTGAAACCATGCATTTGTCAGTCCCAGGGGAAACAAAAAGGAAAAAAAAGAAGTCATCTAAAATTGGTCAATTCTCAGCAGACTTGCAAAAAATATCAATAAGGGAGGCGGGGGGGGGGGGAAGCTAAGCTAAGTACGAAATAAATTCCAAACCACACTCCACACACATTCTATATTGGGGGGTCGGGGGGGTACAGGTGGAAGTAACGTATGTTTGGTTTACAATTCTATGTATACTTCAATGTCTGTTTTTAAGTGATCTCACGGAATAGCTTTTTCTCTAATAGAAACTAACACCTTTTTTTGTTCAAAATACTCAATATGCCATGCTCTGAAACAAGGCTGTAAACAAGAACACAGGTAAAGGTTTATACCAAAAAGAACCCCCAAAACAAACAAAGAACCCCCAAAACTTTACCACTTCTGACATTTTTCAAGGAAAACAAAAGTCAAAGGGACATGCATACGTTGACCCTCATGTTCTGAAGTTGTGTCATCAGAGCACTTCAGAAAATCAGACAGATTGAGTCCTAAATGCTTTATTTAAAGTTTATGTTTATCAGCACATTTTTAACAAGCACATTAATTTCAATATAATGAAGTCAGCCAAACACAAAGCACATAACATTGTCAAAACAAAGCGGCCTGTTCCTTGTCCAATACACAGTGCAGAAAACCAGAAGGGAGGTGACATTTTTATGTGACTTTCTGCAACAATTCCCTTCAAGAATTAATTTTTATATACTTAGACCCTCCATGCATCATTCCCCAGTCTGTCTTTACCTTTTAAATTACTACCATTCATGAGGAGACTGGGCGGCCTTTTGTCTTCCCTTTCTCATTCAGTGCAGATACAGATACTGAAGGGGAGGCTGGAGCACCTTTCTGAACCGACACCCAAGTTCAACTCCCCCTTTCTCCCACACCAATACACTACCTCCCCTTCTTTAGTATGTCTGAGTAAGTCAGAGGAAAATCCATGATTCTTAAGTGCAATATCAAGACCAGACTTATCAGTCTCCTATAGGCAGTTTCTAAGCACACAGCTAAAGCAACTAACCCCGAAAACATGAAGGTAGTAGTAACGCTTAAGAGAAATAACATTGCAAATAACTAGATTTACAAATACGTAGGACACAAGAAACAAATGTTTTATGCAGTGCTAGGCCTGAAGTTGCTACAGGTTTTCACGTCCCTCCCCACAACAAAAAAAGAAACTAAAAAGAAACAAATCCCACCAATTTTGAAGTTTTGTCATGACTGGGATTTTAAATTAAGTTACTCCCATAACTTTTTGTGCGATTTAACAGTAAAGGAAGTCACCACAGGATTAAAAACACAACAGTTCTGTGAGTACTTCTGTTCATAGTTTTCAGAAAAAGAAAGCTAGTTGGCAAATATAGTGGTTGACATTTATCATATAAGCAAATATAGTGGTTGTCACAGAATAGAACAAACCAAAAAGGATTTAAAATGCCAAGCAAAAAAGGGGCATGTTAAAAAAAAATAGGTTTCCTGAAAATTAAACACCATAATTAAAAGCAACACCTACCATAGTTGCCTGTTCAGTAGAAGTACCAGAGCAGCTTGGATACCAAAGTTCAGTTCTAGAAGAGAACTTGAGTAACACTAAATTTATTCTACCTAGAAACACCAGAAGACATAATCACACCTTTTTTACTGTCTTTTTAACCTATTTAGTGGATGAGGAGCATTTTGTTTTGTTTCCGCATATAAACGAGCTAACTGTGTCCTTACAAAAAAGGATTCCGTTATCTAATTAGAGAGTAGAAGATTTTAAGATGACACAAAACACTACTTAACAGATACAAGTTTAAAATGGTTTTATATGGTGCTAACTACGAAAAAAAAAAAAAGGATGTTAGCAATGGCTTTGCTGCAATTCACATGTGAATATTACATAAGAAGTAACCAAACATAATCACACTTCTGGCAAAAGAAAAAACATCACCCAGCAACAGCATGACACATCCTATGAGACAAGTGTCTGCCAAAGCTCTACTCTTAAAAGCTAAATGCTTCCCCCCACCCTTAATTACCGAAATCTCATCCATTTCCTCAGCCTGTTTGAGGCAAGAACAATATCTAAGACTGGGTTCCATACACCCATTACATTTAGCTACCCAAAGAGCCCATTTCCATACATGTTTACAGTCTGCCACTTGTGCCACAATGAAAACTGTATTAATCCTAGAAAAGCAGTATTGGGCTACTTGTAGCATTGTAGTAAAAGTGCCTGTGTAAGACTTTTATGACTGAAAGATAAACATTTATATTGAAAGAAGTAATATTCCTCCTCACCTTTTGATTAGCTCCCCCCAGAGTGAAAGTCAACTAATTTAAAGAATTGTTTTGATCATAGAGAGAACTGACAATCTTGTGAACACTCACATGAATGCATATGTCCAGATCACCAGTGATATTAGTAAAATACGACTTAAGATGCATTTCAAGTAAAAAGTACAATTACTTCTTTCCCTCATCTGAACAACTACTACCCAAAAGGACTTAACTTTTTCATTTTTGCATTACCTACTGCAATAAATGTGCTGCTTTTAACTTAAAGAAGCCCACTTAGCAAGGCTATCAGACAGACTATGCTACACAAGCATCATTCAATGGAAATCCTTCTTTTTAGGTATAAATCCCTGCAACTCCTTTCTAAGTTACAATCTTGATATATCTTTTCCAAGCAAAACTCAAAAGCTAATTTTCATACAAAGCTAAACTTTGAGACAAGGCATTCAAAATTGGAGAAGTAGCAATACAAAGAAGTTTGAGAGCATGAAACAGAAAAGTTCCAAATTGGAAGGAGAAAAACGTTACAAAGATCAAGAGAAGTATACAACGTATTTGTACATTCGTGCAATGTTTCCTTTTTTAAAATACTAACTTGGTAATCCTACTTTTAAAACAGGGAGATAATTTCTCAGGGTACGGCTAAAAGGAGAGCAGGCACAAAAGCTGAGGAGAAGCCAGTACGTGAATAAGAAAAGACTATATAACGTTAATGACAAAACAAGAGCACTGAAGACCGAGTCCTTCGGCTGACCCATCTGCAAATAAAGAGATTGCAAATCAACTACGATTGTGAATTCTCCCAAGAAGCTGACTGAAAACAGCCATGTGCACTACATATACCACAACCAAGTCTTGCACGATAGTGGTGTATCAGATTTCCCACCAAGTGTCAGAGAAAAGAGTGCAAACACCTAACCCAGGACACCCTTCCTTCCACACAGGTAATCGTCAGCAGAACTGAATGCTCACACTTGGCATTCAGCTTGGGAGTAAACACAAGCCTGTGCTCGCCCCAGCTGTGTTGTAAGGATTTCCTTTTAAACCCAAACTTCACTTGAATCTTGAGCAGTGTAATACTAAACTGCTAAGTAGCAAATTGAATATGCTTGTTTTCACCAGCCAAACATGGAAAACAGATCCAGTAAACAGAGAACACAATGACAAGTTAATTTTTAAATTTAAACCGTTTCAAGTAGTTATGGTATTCTTTGATACACAGGTAAATTTAGTTACTGCAATGTATGGTTTGCCCTTTACAAGCTTTCACATAACTAGCAATGTCACACATTAAAAACAACCCGAAAAATGTCAGTCAAATAAGTCAAATGTGACTTTCAACTATGCTCTCAAAATTTGAGCAGTTAACAAGTATAAAGCATATTTATTCAGGAAGATACAAAAAACCCCTAGAACACCACAAATCATTACAAGAGAAAACAGGTGGTTAAAAATTACAAATTCTACCTTTTCAAAGAAATAAGCTTCAAAGAAACAGAAGAGATCACTTTGCACTACTACTACTCATGTGAGCAAAATTTCTGTAGCTAAACTTTAAAATAGTGTATGGAGATCAAATATGGATCCCAAAGGTCCAAAACATAATAAAATAGAAGTCTAGCATAACTTAAAGGTTTGGTTTTGGTTTTTTGTTTGGTTGGTTTTTATAAAATATAAAAGCAGCTTAACAACTATTGACTCAAAGTTCAAAGTACACGTCAAAAGCAAGTACTTTCAAACGCACATCACAAAAAGTGTGAAAATGTATTAATCCCAAATTCAGAAGAATAAACATTCAAGACATGTATATTTTTCTGCCTTCATCCCCACAAAGCAAGACAGACAACAGTTGAGTCATACACCCCTGTATTTTTTTTGTCTACTAAAATAAATCCAAGAAACACTATCTTCTCTAGTGCGTTACTAAATTCTATTTCTTAGCTTTTGATTTTATAAACCCAAGAATTATTTCTCCAGCCGTGACTCAAGATACCACCAATTAACGTAAGCAAACCAGGTAATCTTTATTTCAGGAAGTCAGATCCTACCTGGAAGGCCGTAAGCTGATGCCGCGGTAAGAGCAGCTCGAGTAGTGTTTACACTTCACGGTATTACCCTGTTACTTTAGATCAGACTCACCTTGTGTTTATTTTAGTCAGTACAGAACAACATAAAATAACATCTAGTACAGTTATGCAGCCATGTGGACAACTACAGAAATGCTGGGAGTAACTTGTAGTATTTTGATAGCACTTAATGTTAGAAGAAAAGATTCGGAAGAGAAAATGCAATTCCAAGCCAGCTGATAAAAACTATACCCACCTCAAGTGCAACGAAGTAAGCTATATTCATTTTCCAGCTCGCTGTTAAGGTCTGTTTTCAAATCAAGAAAATGTGGAAATGCAGCCTTCTAATTATAGAAGTACTCCCTCCACACTCATACCAAAAAAACATAACCATCTACACTATCTTCTCTGCCCTTCATCACTTGTATTTCACTCACACAGGAACCTCTCAATGGCTCTGGTCCCAGAGCAATCTCATGAAAGAATTTCAAGTTCTGCATACAACATAAGAAGTTGAAAGTCATGAAGCTCCTCCAAACGTTTAGACTGAGGGGGTTTCCTGCCAGGTACCACCTTTCAAATTTCTTTAAACCTACAAAGTAGTTACAGGCGCCTTGTTCTTTTGCTTGCCAAAGCTGGGAACAGTAGACTTGCTTTTCCCAGCGTCTAAGTAGTTTCAAAACACGACGAACTTCACAAATAGGAAGAAGTGCCAGATCAGCAATTTTTAGAAAGTAACACAGAAGCAGCTGGTGAGATGCATAAGCTGGGCACTTATCTTCCAACTGTCTCTTTTCATTCCCAACTACAGAAATCTTGGTTTTTGTTTTTCCCCATGTCATCAATCTCAAATAACAATCTAAGAAAACACTTTATTCCGCTTTTCCTTGGAAGATTTAGGCTGTAATGACTCTGTATGACCATGCACACCTACAAAACAAAAAAAGAGATCCCAGAAGCTACACAAGGGTTTAGAGACTCCACATTCTGACTTCAGTTTGTATCATTAAACTGTGATTACACATACGTTTAAGGAAAATGCTCTGATAATCCGGTCATCTTTTGTAACTGTTCCTTAATCTACTACTTGAAAGTGAAGTTCAGCTGCAATACTCCAGGCCTCAAGAGTACTGAATCTGGCTGTTTACAGCAATATTTTACCTTTCTAACGTATTTCAAGGATGAAAGACATGTGCATGCCAATGCTTTTCAAGGTATAAGGCACTCTCTTTAAGATCAGTGAAGAGGTCTTTGCTTCTATCTACAGAAAATGGCTCTACAGACCAAAAAGGCTTTACACCTTGCTTCACTTTTCCTGTAGCTCTTACTGCGAGATGTGGATGTGTGCATACTTCACACAGTAGCGTAACTATAAGCAACCTAAACAATATTCTTTTCAGCTGACACCAAGCTTCATCACCATGATTGAAGCACAGCCACATATTTTAATAGGTTGTTATTCTGAAAATAAAAATGTTTCTTTTGGGTAGTTCAAACTCATGCTATTATTGCTAAGCAACTACTTCTACAACTGCTGTTCAACTTTCGACACAAACCCAGGAACATAGGAGGAGGCAAATTAGGACATTTAGAAGTGCCAAATAACCATTAAGACAAGCAAAATTGTGTTATCAGTGCAGAGTGGAATAAGGTGGAGAGGCTTGATCTGCAGAACAGCCAAATATGACCTTCAGAAGATCTGGATAGAAAAGTACAAAGCAACAGGCTCTCACAAAAACTAGAGCCAAAGGAAAAAAAATGCACTAAAAAAGAAGACCAATCTGTGGGGGGGGGGGGAAAGAAGGCAAATCTAATAAAGCAAGACAGTATTTAACTGAGAAGTTTTGTTTTACAACAAATGTTATGAGAAAGAGATGGCCTAAACTTCATAATACTTTCTGAAGAAGAAATATAAATACACTGCATCACTTATTAAATAGGCTGAGGGCCTATCAGCCCTCTGTATGTACAGGTATATATAGACCAGTAAAATTACACCACTGTCAATCTCACAAGGGTAAAGGAGCACGCACAGCTTCATTTATTGTCAAACCACAAACGTCACACAGCTACTAGCTCTTCACACCAGTACACTAACACCAGTGAAGAGATTGTATTTATATAGTTAAATCAGCAGAAGAATCCCTTACTAAAAAACATGCTTAAACAAAACACAGGAGATTATATTCTGAGTGAGCACATGACTGCAGATCACACACCAGGCCAAATTAAAACAACAACAAAAAAATATCCCTGGCGACAAAGTGTTAATATACTAACTCACTTTCATCAGGATTATTTAAACTATGTGCTGTTAAAAATAAAATTTAAGAGAAAAGAAACAAAGCGCTATATATACTGAGAGCACTGGCTGCCCATGTGGAGAGTTCACAAACTCGAAGCAAAACAAAGTCGGGGAGAGGGCTTGGCAATCTTTCTACACAAAAGAAACTGCAGGAGAAGTCAAGGTCAAGTGATTTAGATACTCTACCAGTAATAACTGCAATACGACTATTTTATAGGAAAATTCCTTCCCTGGTCTCATCCTCTTCTGTTCACTACTAAGTCCTAGCTTTGCCTGGGAAACAGGATTGGCATTAGCAGATGAAGCTATCACTGCCCGCACTTCCTCCTTAACACAAGGAATTCAACACACACACAGCAAGTGCAGCTAGAAAAATTTAAGATAAAACTCTCAGCATTCAGCAGAGGCAGATGTCTTTCCAACCTGCCAACGTAACCAAATACGGTTGTGATTTCTTACAACTGTAGTTTATGCCATACTTCCAAAACCATTCACTTCTCCTTTTAATGGCTTCACAATCTTTTTCACACGTACTAAGTTTAGAGAGATCACTAAGCAGAAGAAAACATAAAAGGATCGATGAAACCAAGCAGCAACCTGTGGGCTTTTTGAGCAGTATGCTACCTGAGATGATTTTAAACATGCATTGGAGTAAATAATATTTCAAACAGATGTTTCACTGGATGTTAAAACAGGAAGAACAAAATAAGGACACAGAAAGGCATTTATTTAAATGGAAGAAAACAATCGCAGTGGTGAGGTACGCAGCCAAGAAGTGGACAAAGTGAAGTAATTCCACACAAAAACCCTCTAGACTGCGTTCTGGAAAAGAGCAAGCAGCACGTCTGAAATCTACCCAGCCTAACTAATGTTTCATCAACACCTGCTGATGAAAGCAACTAGGAAAAGCAACCTGTTGTTGCTTGTTACTTCGCAAGGCGTACAGAAAGAGGTTGCGAAGAGCACAAAAATTCCAGGGCCGCCTGAGGAAACGCTGCTTTCCAAAGAGAAGGGGAGGAGAAAAAAAAAAAACAACAAAGCCCAATAATACTACCCCGGTCTAATTTAGCCACCGTTATGGGATCTGTTTCCGAGGCCCTTCTTCCTTCCCTCCCTCTCGCCGCCCGCCCAACTCCCCAGCCCGGGCAAAGCCTCCCGCAACCGGTTTGCCCCCAGCACCGCCGCCACCGCACGTGTCCGCGTCCGCCGGGCCCAGAACCGGCCGAGCCTCC